CCCCCCCCCACACACACCTCACGAAATCGTACTAAATGTTACACGCTAAGAAAGAACAGGGACATCTAAGCATGCTTGAAGGAGTGCGCAAACAACGTATTTTGTGAAGTGACATGTACACCCCACGCCCATTCACAACAGACGAAATACATACCCTTTGTAAATATGCACACAGTGGAAACCTAACAATAGGCTTTTGGAAGTGCTGTATTTGATCTTGGCATATGATCCATGCGATGTACATGTATACAAACGAGTGCTTTATAATAGGCCCCATTTGTGCTGATAGCAAGCTGGAGTAAAAGTTAGTTTGCACTGTCGCGAAGGCGAACTAGCCTCGAAACAGAGGTGACTTACTGCTATAATGTTACTTGGACAGGTCTTCTATACTATATTGCACTCAGAGTTCTAAACTATTTGTCCTCAGCACTCAACGACGAAAAAATACGTCACTGGAAACGTAACATTTGCAAAGCAATTGCATAACGTTTACCTCTACATGGTCTTCCCTAACAAAATACTGATATGCTAGACGTCTGATCCAGGTCAATGACCTTATGTGTTTGAGGAAGAAACAGCAAAAACAATATGTTTTCCTCCCGTGAAGGTAAACATAAAAATATCACCTTTGTGGAAGTAAACGCCGCAAACAACGAGAACACTGGACAAGTTAGGAGCTAGAAAACATGTTGAAAAATATACCATTTCCTTTCGAGGGCTCACAAAAGACGGGAGTGCGCGAAAAAGAGCCCTTTTTAGTAAGAAGGATACGTGTATTTACTTTTATACACATCGGTTACTAGTCGAAACAAAGAATTCTATTCTTGCTGAGGACCAGCACTGTTATTCTTGCGTCGGACAGAGTGGTTATGTACAGATTTGTTTTGGTGGTCTGGGAGTTATTTTTCTTTTTTCTTCTCCGGTTTTCATGCCTTGTACTTTAAATCAAAACACTGTGTGAAATATCAGTTGTTAAGCATACCTTGAATCATGCGTAAATGTTATGTTTCCTCACTGGGATGAAAACCTTTACAAACATATGCTTTAACGTTTAAGGTATACTTAATTTAAAGATCGGATTTTTTGTGGTAAAAGTCTGGTGAATATAACTAGGGAGCCATGCAAGAAGGGTTATGATCAATAGTTATCCACAACATGCAAAGTGCAGAGATTTTAGCTACTGATCCGCTATCAAAAAGCATTTGGATCTTCTAGCTAGAGATTTCGAAACTTCTAAACGTACCGGTGATCTGCAGAAGAAAGCCCGCGAACGGTTTGGAACCTCGCATGATTGAACGTTGTGCAGACGATCGGTTTGGTCAGGTTTGGAGTCGGACGTCTCAAGAAAAACACTTCCTTGTGCAACGCCACTTGGCTGTTGCTCTTGACATTGATACGGTATCGGTCTGCTTTTGGTGACAAAGCGATTGGGACTATTCCATTCAACTTAAAGGGGTGGCTAGGGTGCTGTAGTACTGCTCTACCAACAGCACAGAAATCGAGAGAGGAAGCAAGTAACACGGAGTCGCGAGCAAAGACGTTAGAGTATCCTGCTAGGGAAAGGATCAAGTGGCCCAAAATTAGCAAAGGTTGTAAATGTACTACATGAAATAATTCAGCAGAAGCAAAGACGACACAGTTTACTAGTGTTGAACAGAGCATTAAGTATTGTATTGTATCATGAATAAAACAAACGAATATACTCTCTGTTTCTGCCTACTGTTATCTTGTCATAGTAAATCCTATATAATGGTAGTTGATGACATCTAATACACCACATTCGTTCACCATGCAGAATAACACCAAAAGACGTTTTAAAGATCACAAAACCCAGTAATTAAGCAGAAGAAAGGAACTACTCATTATCCAATGCATTCAAAGAAGTCAAACTCCCTATGAGCAAATGTAACGTTATTAGTTGATCAGACAGTAGTTGCCTTCGTTGGAAGGGTATAAAATCAGTTTGCTTTAGTGTGGGAGACTGTGGATTTAGCGGCATAACTAGAAAATGTATCCGAAAACTGACGGTTTTTAAGACCTGTTACTGTTCTGATTTAAACTTTTAACTACGGTATAGTGATTCTTCGTGTACACAATGCAGCGTTGCGTGAGGGGGTGAAGTCTGCCATCTCTGTCTTGTTAAAAGCATCTCCCTTTCAATCCGGTAGACCTGATGAGCGAAAGGCCCGCCTTCGTCTTCGTCTGCCCAGGTTATCGAGGACCATTGCAGCTTTCACTTTGAATTCCTGTGTGAGGTAGGAAAAAAATACATGTGTGAAAACATGTAGTTTTGTAGTTACTTGACAATGTTACGTTATCTGTATTCTATTCTTCTGATGTGACCTGTACTTAACCCAGTATGTACAATAAAAGACTTAATTCCTTCATTAGTTAGACTCACCTCTGCACACATCCCTCGCTGCTGCTATCTGCTCCGCGGTCATGGCGTAGTCGTACAGCTGCACACAGGCGACTCGACCAGCGTAACGCCGATTGTCCCATTTTTTCGAGCCGATCCGGACAGGGTAGTTCGTCGCCAGGTTCCAGACGCCGTAGTAGATGTCGTCGAGCCGCTCGCCGTTATGCCACACGGAGCCCCGCCCCGTGGAAGTGTCGTACGTTCCGCCCACGTAGTTCCAGGCGTTCGGTTCGATCCGTTTAGCCCAGCTGTGTCGTGGAAACTGTCCACTGCGTCCAACCGGCCTACAACAGAAAGACTTTGTCAACTTTTAAAGAGGGAAGAGAACTCAAAATCGACACATACATGCAAAGCCCAATTTTTTTGTACGCAGAAGTAAATTGTAAGAGATTGTAAGTTAAAAAAATTATTCACAACCAATTGATGTGAATCCAGATTCAACAAGTAAAATCTGAGATTTTATACCTCCGGGCTTTTTATTGTATATCTTTATATAGGATTTTAAACAAAAAATTTATCGAGACCGGACACCCCTCTGTGTGAGGGGTCATATACGTGGACCAGACCGAGAATAGCTTAAACACGCCAAAGGTCAACGGTCGCGACCACTTTCACGTTAAAAGGGGTGTTTTGGGGCCACCAAAAGGTACCATTTTCACGCCCTAAAACACATATACAATAAAAACAAAAGAACGTGCATCATCTGCAGCCCAATAGCAAAACATGTACCGAGTCTCAAAAGAATCCGTCGACCCAAACGCGAGAAACAGCTGCGAACATAAAAATCTAAATCTCTCACAAAACCCTTCCGCGGAAGGATGTCTCCTCCCCCGGAGATAACAAGGGTCCACGTACGTTTCGATGACGCCTGTCATCTTCATCAAGGCATTTAGGACTCACTTTTTACTGAAGCTATATGTTACTGGTTCACTGTGCACTGAAGCTAGGTGTTACTGGTTCACTGTGCACTGAGGTTAGGTGTTACTGGTTCACTGTGCACTGAGGTTAGGTTTTACTGGTTCATTGTGCAGTCATATCATATAAATGGCCTCGGCTGGTAAAGATGACAGACGGTCATCGAAACGTCCACTCTTATTAAACAAGTAATTGTGAAGGAAGAACGTTGCTATTCAATCATTCACCAACCTGATTAACGTTACAGCATTTTAACTTACCGCATGAAGATGGCTACTCCCTCCTTCTGCCAGAGATGCACTGCAAACCCCCAGGCGACCTCCTGCACCCCTTCATAGTCGAAGATCGGACCGTCTGATCCGGTAGGATATATGTGGGCCAGGATGGTGTAGGCAAACTGCACATCCAGCGGGCCACGGTTGGGAATCTCGACGTAGGACTCGGGAGATCCCGCGAACAGGAAAGCACCGCCGGCGTTTCCGTACGGACCGGGGGCTAACTGTGTTCCCACCGCCGTCCCGTCATTTCCCTTTCCCGTGGCGTCTGACGCACCGTACTTGGCGTTCAAGGGCCAAACAGCCACTGCATCACCTGCATGGTGTCAACAGCATACTTATTTTACATCGCCTTACAGACTTTTTACTCGGTATGTTATATGTAAATCATGTCTCTATCCGAATTGTACATGTCCTGACGCTATTCAGCCGTTTTGGCTGCAACATTTGTGACAATCGTATTGAAATAAACAAACCATTCATAATCACTAGGATTTGTTAGCTTTAATACAGTTTCAAAACATCTTGTTTGAGAAAATTTTGTATTTCAATATTCAGTTTTACAGTGTAGATGCAATCCACCCATGAAGAATGCGAAGTTGTATACTGCCTTACCGGGTGTTGGTATGTTGATAGAAGTTGGACAGGGATTGGGAACGTCCATATACTGAGGAAACCCCGTGCCCGCCATGTTGTTCAAATTGCCAGAAATTCGGGCCAGTTTTAGGCTGACCCCGTCGACCTTTGCCTTCATCCTTTCAAGTTTACCTGCATTGTTACAGAATAAAGTACTTGTCAGAGTTGCGTTACCGTGTTCTAATCTAAAAGACCCGTGTGTTCGTTGGTCTCAGTGTTTGATCTACGAGATTAAGTGGTTGAGGGGTGGTGTGATCATGGTGAGAACAAAAAGACCAAGGCTACAACATGTGTATATAGACATACTGTACACAGTATACCAGTACTGACGCTACACTTTCGTCAGTGGCATCAAAATGTTAATATCAGACAGATTTCCTCATCCAGAATACCCTCAAATTGCAGTAGGTGTTTTAAAAAAAAGCACAGAAAAGAGAAGAGAACGGCTGTGACCTACTTTTGAGCTGCTCAGCTTCTTTCACTGTCATGGCGGCACCTCCTGTAATCTCCAACGACAACACGTAAACCAACAGCAACACCAGGCCTGGGGTCGTTCCGATACGTTTCTTGCCTTCCATCCTCGATTATCTGAGGTGTTTTACCTAACTCCTTTCTTTGCAAGAAAAGTTTCTTGAACCGAGCTTACGTCGATTGCGAGATGCAAGAAGTTTGAACGAGTATATATAGACCACCCGACGTCTTCTTTCAAAGCTGTCGATTTGCCGAAAGGTACAATCACAGGTGGGCCGGAGCTAGACGATCACATGACAAACTCAGACAGTCCCACGACAAACTCAATAATATTGTGCATTGTTCCCAGGCATTGTGCTAGTTTGAAATGGTTTAAATTAAGTTAAGCACTCGGCTCGCAATCTTTGCTCTGAACGAAATTTTAAGTTCTGAAGTTGGACTCGAATTGTTAGACGAAATTGTCTGGGAGTGTAGAAAATTCATTTTGACTGACGGTCACTGACCTTTCTTGAACAGTTGTTCAGTTTTGTTTTTGTACTGGTTACTTAGTGAAGCAAACTTTGTTTTGAACATAGGCTCCTTCATGTTCCTGGCTCATATCCCACAGGCGTTTTGAAATATAAGCCAGCTTTATTAGATTCATATCATATAACCTATAATGATATCTGTGCTTTGTTCAGTCGGAAAAAATCATATTAAGGCTGCTCGAATCAACGTGGGAAGCTAAGTTACAGGGTTTTAGCTGTGTGAGATTTTGGCACCTCCCTTTCTGAATGGCACTTACTTGCAATGGAGGAGGGTTGATTCAACTTGCTTGGTACAGAAATGGCCAGAAAATTGACTTTTTATTTCGCCATAACATCACCTTTACATGTTACTTTCATAGTTTAGTTGATGTTGCAAGTGTCATGTGAGGACAGTGAGATACAGACAACTATCTCCCTGTATTGGTTGCCTCACTCAACTCTGTCCTTGACACTATTCAGAAACTGAATCATAATTACTTAGTCCTCCATTGAGACTGTGTTGTTTTGTCCTCATGTGACCCCTCAATAGCGTGTCTACAAAACGTACTGCGTCTGCGCGAAACATGAATTTTTTCACGATTCTCGTTGGCTGTATTTAATTCATCAACGCTGCATCAGAATTCCATCCGTTGAAAACCAAATCTTTTCCAACACACCAATTGACATCTATAGACAGAATGTCATCCTTAAATACACGAATACGCCCTTAAACAAGACGTTCTGCCTACGTGCTAATTAGAATACATCAAGTTGTACGTTACAGGTGTCGCGCAGGCGCAGTGTACATATTACCCTGTCAATTGATATTTGATACGCCTCACGTTTTAACAACATGACACTTGAGATGCTTATCTGATGAAGGCGTCATCAATCAATTTACCAATTTACCAAATGACCATTCAGCCTGTTTGTAATGATTAGTAGTGACACATCAGCGTAACAATGTAACACGCGCACGTAAAGCCCTTGTTACATATGCACACACACACACACGCACGCACACACACACACACACACACACACACACACACACACACACACACGCACGCGCGCGCACACATACACACACAATTTTGATGAAGCGAGTAACAAAGCCCGCATGCACTGAAACGTGTTAATTTC